TATGAGTCTGTTTTTATTCTGTTTGTAAATTTGTTTTGTTTTTTAGATTCCACATATAAGTGAAATTATATTGTATTTGTCTTTGTCTGGCTTATTTACTATAGGTCCTCCTGTGTTATCACAAATGGCAAGATTTCATTCTTTTTTATAGCTACATGATATTCCACTTTGTAGATCACATTTTGTTTGTCCATTTATCTATCAGTGGGCCCTTGAGTTGCTTCCCTATCTTGCCTATTGTAAATAATGCTGCATTGAACACTGGGATACATAGTATCTTTTTGAATTAGTGCTTTTGTTTTCTTAGGTAAATACCCAGAAGTGGAATTGCTGGATCGTATGGTAGCTGTATTTTAATTTTTTGTGGACCCTCTGTACTGTTCTCCACAGGAGGCTGCACCTACTTATTTGCCCACCGAGAGTACACAAGGGTTTCCTTTTCTCCACATTCTTGCCAACACTTGTTATTTCTTGTCTTTTTGATATTAGCTGTTCCGACTGGTTTGAGGTAGTGTTTCATTGCTGTTTTGATATGCATTTCCCTGAAAATTGTGATAGGGAGCATCTTTTCAGGTGCCAGTGTGTGTGTGTGTGTGTCTTCTTTGGAAAAAATGTCTACTCAGGTCGTCTGCCCATTTTTAAATCAGGTCGTTGAGGTTTTTGTTACTGAGTTGTATCAGTTATTCATATATTTTGGGTAGCAACCATTCTCAATATCTCCTCCCATTCAGTAGGTTGCCTTTTCACTGTGTTGATGGTTTCCTTTGCTGTGCAAAAACTCTTTGTTTGATATAGTTCCATTTGTTTGTTTTTGCTTTTGTTTCCTTTGCCTGAGGCGACCTATCCAAAAAAATATTTCTGAGAATTATGTCCAAGGGTTTACTGCCCATTTTTTTCTAGGAGTTTTATGGTTTCACCTCTTAAGTCTTGAGTGCATTCTGAGTTAATTTTTTGGTATGGTGTAAGATAGTGGTCCAGTTTTATACCTTTGCATGTGGCTGTGCAGTTTTCCCAACACAACCGATCAAAGAAACTGTCTTTATTCCTTTGTATGTTCTTGTCTCTTTGTTGTAGATTGACCATTTAAAGGTGGGTTTATTTCTGGCCTCTCTTCTATTCCATTGACCTATTTGTCTTTTTCTATCAGTACGATACTGTTCTGATTACTGTAGCTTTGGAGTATAGTTTGAAATCAGGAGCATGTTACCTCCAACTTTGTTCTTCTTTCTTCTTTCTCAAAATTACCCTGGCTATTTGGGGTCTTCTGTGGTTACATACAAATTTTAGGATTATTTGTTCTAGGTCTGAGAAAAATGCCATTGGTATTTTGATAGGAATTGCATTGAAATCTGTAGACTGTTTTGAAAATAGTATGGACACTAACAATTCTTCCATTTTTTTTTAAAGATTATTTATTTATTTATTAGAGAGAGAGAGAATGAGAGATAGCATGAGAGGGAAGAGGGTCAGAGGGAGAAGCAGACTCCCCGCTGAGCAGGGAGCCCGATGCGGGACCCGATCCCGGGACCCCAGGATCATGACCTGAGCCGAAGGCAGTCGCTTAACCAACTGAGCCACCCAGGCGCCCTCTTTTTTTTTTTTTTTTAAATTATTTTTATTTATTTGAGAGAGAGAGAATGAGAGATAGAGAGCACGAGAGGGAAGAGGGTCAGAGGGAGAAGCAGACTCCCTGCTGAGCAGGGAGCCCGATGCGGGACTTGATCCCGGGACTCCAGGATCATGACCTAAGCCGAAGGCAGTCGCTTAACCAACTGAGCCACCCAGGCACCCATTAACAATTCTTCCAGTCCATGCTCATGGTTTATCTTTCCATTTGTTTGTGTCATCTTCAAATTCTTCCATCAGTATCTTAGAGTTTTCAGAATACAGATCTTTTACCACCTTAGTTGAATTTATTCCTAGGTATTTTATTCTTTTTGATGCATTTATAAACAGGATGACTTTCTTAAAATTTTTTTCTGATAGTTCATTATTAGTGAAGAGAAACACAACAGATTTCTGTATGTTAACTCTGTGTCCTGCAACTTTACTGAATTTATGTTCCATGAAAAGAATGGGCATTCTGCTGGTTTGGGATGGAGCATTCTGTAGTCTGTCTCACCAGAACTGGTCCAGTGCAGTAATATGATCTAAGCTTTTCTGTTCAGCATTCTATTGATCATGTATTCCCAATTTGTACTTATATAAAATATTCACAGATTACACATAATGCTATTAATATCATTATACTCCCTAAAATATATAAAAAATAGAAAATTGGATTTTACATTTAACTTTTTTAATCCTCATTTTTGTAATTTACTTATTTAAAATCGTAGTTATGCTGCCATCATCTCAATCAGTTTTAGAACATTTTCATCACCTCAAAAAACAACTCTCTTCCCCTTAACCATCACCCATTAATACCCTGCACCCATTAATATCCATTAATACCCTTCTCCCTCAGCCCTAGACAATGACTAATCTATTTTCTGTTTGTATGGATTGTTCTGTTCTGGATATTTTATGCACACACAGTCATATAATATGTGGACACACATTTGTAACTGGCTTTTTTCACTTAGCGTCATGTTCATCAGGGTTCATCCCTGTTGCAGTATGTATTAACAATATCTTAGTTTTAATATAAAAATATTTAATTTTAACCATGAGGAACACTTGGTTCCCCAGGAAAAAATGTTCCTTCTTTGTCTATGTATGTCCACTTTCCTTCCTACCTATCCCAAGCATACCTTTCACATACCCTCTAGAATACACACATCTCAGTCTTATATTTACAGATACATTCCCAGAATTGGGTGATAATACTGCCTCTTAAAAAGTCTCCACATGCCTTTAAAAAAGGTCTCAGGAAAAAGTGCTCTCTTAATTTAAAGTAAGCCAGCCCCAGGATCTCAGATACTGCCTATGTTACTGCCAACATGGACGGGAGAGGGAGAGGTAAGGAGAGACCCTATGGAGATAAGGACTGGCCTGGCTGTTGGTTTCTATGCCATGTCGTCATTTAGCTTTCTTCAGAGGCTCCCAGAGCAGTCCCCTTAGCTGATACCAGAAAGGATGGATTCTCTCATAGAAAAGTGACACCGGTTATAGTCATTTAAGCAAATCTTTTGCTAGTTATGTCAATTAGCATGCAAAAATAAGATTACCTATGATACTAGATAATATTAGATATGGTTCACTTGAGTTCCATACTTTTTATTACACATTACACAATAAATCTACGTTTGCATCCACTTAATCATCTTGGCCCACCTCTTGGACAGCCTGTTGGGGAGAGGGAGCCGGTCTTGTTCATCTCTGTATTCCTTTTTTCTTGGCCAGCCACATCACTGGCCCTAAGTAAATGCTTATCATATTGAATTTCAGGTTGTTGCTTAAACATAAAAATTTATATAAACCAATTCTGTTCATATTCTCCAAAATTATAGCTGATGAGTGGTAAGATACTCATTAGTTAAACATGTCAGTGAGTAATTTACTGTAAGAGATATCACTGACTAATGTTTGGGTTTGCATAGGGAAAGTCCACAGGGTTTTGAGTTGTGTGCTAGTTGTATCTCCATAGTTGTTAAGAGTTTGAAGGATGTGGTCTTACTGTCTCATTCCTAAGTCTTTAAATTTAATAATAAAAATAGGAATCACTTTCAATTAACAGAAATTAAAGTTAAAATACTTTTCCAGAAAATCTTCTATACAACAACTTTTTATAGCTTAATAGTTTTGTAATTTCCAGGCTTAAGCTTTATCTTTTTATTTTGGTTTGTTTTCTTCAAGTATTAAGTGTTTTGGCAGTCTTTTTATCCTAGATCATATTTTTTTTTTAATTTTTTTTTTAAGATTTTTTTTTTTTATTTATTTATTCATGAGAGACAGACAGAGAGAGAGAGAGAGAGAGGCAGAGGGAGAAGCAGGCTCCCTAGGAGCAGGGAGCCCGATGCGGGACTCGATCCCAGGACCCTGGGATCATGACCTGAGCCGAAGGCAGACGCTTAACCATCTGAGCCACCCAGGCGCCCCTATCCTAGATCATATTTTATGTATCGTTGATTCCTTTTGACAGTTGAGCATTTTAATATAAGCTGTGAATGTATTTAAAATTGGTAGGGAGTATTAGATTTCTATTTGTATATAATTTATTGATTGATTGATTGTGAGAGAGAGACTGCACAAGTGGTGGGAAGGGGCAGAAGGAGAGGAAGACAGAGAATCCCAAGCAGGCTCCGCGCTCAGTGCAGAGCCCAAAGCAGGGCTTGATCCCAGGACCCTGAGATCTTCACCTGAGACAAAATGAAGAGTCAGATATTTGACTGAGCCACCGATGCACCCCTATTTATATATAATTTAAAAATACACAGGTCTGATAAACACTTATTTCTAACTCTGGGTAAAGTGCTTTTGACTTGGGTTCTTATTATCAGCCTTATAATAATGATGATAATCAGACAATAACAGCTTTTTATTACATGGTTTTATCATTAAGTGTCATAGTCTCAAAGGTATTGTTTCCTCCTGCCTTTTATTTTTTTTTTAATAGGATAGGAAAGGAAGGCTCACAGAAGTCACTTACTTTCACTTAATATACAGGCCAAGTAGCTACAGAAACAAATCTTGAACCTAGGTTTTATGATTGCAAGTGGAGAAATCTTTCTGCATGAGACGCATGCTGCGTCTGTTATTGATTCACTACTTATAGTTCAGATGTTTCAGAAGAAGTAGAAATAGTTTCTGTACTCAGTTTTTTCTACTGAATCAGAGACCATTGAAAGTAATAAAAACTGACATCTGCTTATTGTATTAGTAAAATCTCCACGATATAGCGCAATAAAGTAGAATACAGAAATGCAAATCCATAAGTTGTCTGAAAATTGAATGTAATGCTTTCATTGAATGTTATAATTATTTATTTGAATTCATTATTAAAAGTTAAATAGAAATTTAAAAACATTAATGTATGTATAATTTTTTTTCTTTCCCAGACAGATAGTGATTATGTACACAGCGTTGTAGCCAACCTGGAGAAAGAGTAAGTTCTTAATTATGAAAATGATAATATTTTAGTCACTGTTACTGGCTTTTTGCTAAAAGAAAATGCCTTTTTTTATAGTTCATTCTCTGTGGAGTTTAGTCATCATTGGGTCACAATCACTGGTCTTTTACCTTGTCATAAAGTAGGTGCATATGCGGTTTTCTGGATAAATTGGTGTAGTTCAATATAGAAAAGATTTGAATGTCATACATATGTAAGTCTGTCAAATAAATTATTGATCTTGAAGACCATAGAGAGGGTCGTATGAGATTACTTATGTCTTTCACCCTCAGTCGACCAAGAAAAAAACTTTCTGCTGTCAGGGTAGATAGTCTTGTAGTTGTTTGAAACCTCAGTGCTAAACTATGGCTAAATCGGTTCTATTCTGCAAAGATTGGGTAATAATTTACTGTGAGCAAGGCACACAGTAAGTGTGGAAAGCTAAGGAATTGGAAAGCTTAGTAAGTTTCAGATAGGATTAGTTTTTATAATACTGCCTTCATAGTTTTAATATTAAGTGATATAAAAACTAGTCGTTATAAGGGTTTCTTCATTGATTTTTACCTGTTTTTGTCCCAGAGATGTATCTTTTACTTAAAAAGACAAAAAGAAGCAACAATTATTGGTCAACTCTAGATTTAAAATAATGTGGTTCTTACTTTGTCTATCAAAATGCAAAAACCAGAAATTTTTAAAAATATATGAAGAGTTCAGAACTAAATTGTGCATTTGTTCAATTTTTTTTCCCTCAAGTGCTCAATTTCTTGGCAGCCCTTTATATATAAACACAATTTAGTATAGATTCCTCAAATATAGGAGTAGGGCAATAATTATTGGCCCCTGCTCCCCTAGACTGCATGGGCAGGTCTGTGGGGCTTATGCTGTGATTTTGTCTATTCTCTTCTTCCTCAGTGTTTAGGAACACCAAGCCCAGAAAAAAGTCCAACTAAGCATGAAAAACATTTGTTTGAAGGCAGGTAGTTGCACAAGGATTTTGTGGAGATTTGCAAAAACTAAATGAGGGAGAATGCAAATGTGGAAGGAAGTACATTTGAGTTAGTCAAGCTGATTACAAAAACTTGCTAACAGGTTTTCTCAGCCTTGGCACTATTGACATTTGAGGCTAGATAATTTTTTGTTGTGAGGACTGTTGTATGCATTGAAGGATATATAGCAACCTCCCTAGTGTCTACCCACTAAGGTCATTAGTACTGCCAACATTAGGACAACCAGATTCCTCCAGACAGTGCTCAAAGTACAAGACAGACACACAAATTCACTGGTTTGTTTTTCTTCAATTCTCTATTTTCTGTGATACCTTCATTTAATTTTTTAAAATTCTGATACTTTTTAGGAATATAATACATGCAGTTGGCTTAGGATTTCTATGCTTCTCTAAGGATAGTAGCATTTTTTTACACTGCTTTTAAAGCATTCTTAAAAAAAAAAAACCCAAAACACCCTTTGTGTTACTGGAAAAATTTGTATTTTCTGGCAAATAAAATCAATGATGAGCGACTTCCATGAGCACACAGTGACCCTAACAGTATACCTTACTGATGTGTTTTATGTTAAGAACAATAAGTTGAGCACATCCCACAGAACTTAAATAACTCAGCTAACCTTTCTTATGGTAGATTTTCTAAAGAAATCAGTTCTGGTTTGGTGGAAATAATATCCCCTCCTGAAAGCTATTATCCTGACCTGACAAACTTAAAGGAGACATTTGGAGACTCCAAAGAAAGAGTAAGGTGAGCCTGTGTTGTTTAAGATCCCCCACCCTTGTGAGTATGATATGTAGTAAATGTTTACCATGTAATAAGTATTTACTGAAATGTAGCACATTTTAGGGTTCAGCTAATTTGTGAGAGCTAATGAATTTTTGGTTATTTGATTGGAAATTATGTGTAGTGTCTAATGAGAGGTTGAATTTGGTATGCGCAATAACTTTTTTTTTTTTTTAAGATTTTATTTGAGAGAGAGAGCACACACAAGCAGGGGGAGTGGTAGAGGGAGAGGGAGAAGCAGGCTCCCCACTAAGCAAGGAGCCTGATGCAGGGGCTCAATCCCAGGACCCCAGGATCATGACCTGAGCTGAAGGCAGACATTTAACCACTGAACCACCCAGCCACCCCGATCAATAACTTTTATAACTGCTGTTCTGTGGGGTTCTGACTTAAGAATATATTCAGAATAATTCAAAAGCTAGTTCAGATAGAAACCTTACATCTGTATGCCAAGTAAATGAGAACTGATTCAGTGGAAGTGATAAAAACAATATTACTGTTTTGCAGAATTATATTGTAATAATGTAAAAATCCAGCCAACTGAATTTATTTGTCTCTAAATGTCTAAAATTGAAGGACTGAAAACTTTTATTGTGTTATTAAAAACAGTGATATTCATTAGTTTTGGATTTTATATCACCAGAAAAAAGGAAAAAATAGTGTTTTGGGAAGAGATTATATTTCTTGAGTTGTTAATTTGTCTGAAAGACAGATATATCCATGTAATTGGTTGTCTCTCAATAAATACTATTTTAGCTTTAAAAAATTTAGGAATGGTTCCAGTAAATTCTAGGTGGACTCATTAAATTCAGAACAACTTGTATATTCTGGAGAAGTTTACTTAGTATGATTTAAACCTTTTATTGTTTTTTTTTTTTTAACTAGCTTTTACAACCACTTCTCCTATTCAACATTAGCCTGTTTCTATAGGCTACCAGGAATTCCCTGAAAGGACTTAATATTGTAAACTTTAATGTGTTTTGGGTTTTTTAAACATTCAGTACAATATTTATTAATTTCTGCTTTCATGCAAAGCAGTGACCCCCAAAGTATAGTTTTTGAAGCACAATTTCCTGGAGACATTAAGATGTTACATTGAAAAAAGGGCCTTCAGTCAAAGGAGTTTGGAAAATATTAAAACTAAAAAGTTTTTTATTCAACAAATGTATTTACTGTTGTATGTTTCAGTGCTTCTAATATACTAATATGTCTCCAGAAGGGGAATATATGTGCTTCCCAAAATTACTTGACATTAGACTCCTTTTTCCCTCAGGACATCTTGATGGTTAGTGTTTTGATAGAGGTTTCATTAGAGAAAAGTGAATTCTCTTTCATGCTCTCCTACATGGGTGTATCCTGTGTTTATGTATATAGATACACATGTATCTATGGGTTGACAGATATTTTGTATATATTTATTGTCTACTGTGTAAATATAATGTATGTATATGTATTATAAAATATAACTTGCAGTATGCATTATAAAATATTTACGTTTAATCTTGTTTTGCTAAATTTGAGTCTGATTCCTAACTCATTTTTGAAAATTATTTCAGATGGAGAACAAAGCAAAACCTAGATTATTGTTTTCTAATGATGTATGCTCAGGAAAAGGGAATATATTACATTCAGGTAAGTGTGGTTTGTCCTTTAATGTTTTTTCACACTTTTAAGGAAGAAGTAATATCCAGAGTATATGTTCATTAAAACAGGAATTTTTTTTTTTTTAAGATTTTATTTATTTGACAGAGACACAGCGAGAGAGGGAACACAAGCAGGGGGAGTGGGAGAGGGAGAAGCAGGTCTCCCGCAGAGCAGGGAGCCCAATGTGGGGCTCGATCCCAGGACCCTGGGATCATGACCTGAGCCAAAGGCAGACGTTTAATGACTGAGCCACCCAGGCGCCCCAAAACAGGAAGTTTTGAAAGTGCTGCTCAGCAGGGGGTCTGCTTCTCCCTCTGACCCTCTTCCCTCTCGTGCTCTCTATCTCTCTCTCTCAAATAAATAAATAAAATCTTTAAAAAAAAAAAAGTGTAAGCCCTCTAAGATGTATAAGATTATAACAGTATATCAGAGAGCAGGAGAGTCTGTCATAGTGCCTGGTAACGTGGGCTCTGCTGTTCCATTCTCTGCTTTAGCACAAACACTAGCTTTTCACTTAATGGTGTGACAGTGGGCAGGTCCCTCATCTCTTTCCCCTTCCCCCATCCCTCCATCTTTGCTCTCATCCTCCCTCTCTCCACTGTTAAAAAGAACTAAGGTTTAATTACTTGGCAAATTTTAAAGAAGGACTTTCTGATAGCTTTTTGGGTGGTCTTATAGTAAGATAGTTTGTTTTTTTTAATGCTACAGTACATGTACATTTATACTGAAGATTATAAAACTGACATTTAGCTCTAATGGTCCAGCTTTAGCAGCATGGCTCAAAGAATAAGTCTGTATTGATGTGGCTTTTAAGTTAGCCAGGTAGGCAACAACTTAAATAATTGTAGGAGGCTCTTATTTCTTCCAAATCTCATTCTCCTTAGTGACTTAAGCTTAAATTTTACAATTGGAATTTCATTTCTTTAACCAAAGGTCTTTATTCCTTGTTCAAAATGCACATACCACTGAGTGATGTAGCACACTGAGCCTCAGTTTTTTATCTATTTATTTTTTAGTATAAAAAGTTTATTAGATCTTTCCCTGGAAGGGGTTTTGATGAGAGTGGCGAGAAGAGGCTCTGGGTCCCTGAATCAGAAAGGAAATAAATGGTTTTGCAGTTGCTAGCAGGGGTTTGAGAGGGAAGGAAAGAAGGAGAAGCTTGCTATCCCATGGTAGGGCAGTCTCACTGAGCACAGACTTTGTCTCCTTTGACATTTTATCTTGGGCCACCTGCATTCAAAGGTGCAGGCACCCTTTTGTGGGTCTCAAGTTGGGAAATGTTAATGATGATAGGGTCAGAATATAACATTGTATATAACAGTGTGCAAGAGTTGGGAGTATAAAAACATGGTATCCTTTAATTAGTACGTTTCCTTTAAATGTCTTAGAGAAGTCTTACTTTAATTTCAAGATAATACCTTCAAAACATTTTATTTCATGTGTCCCATATTATTGTAGCTGAACCTTTGCTGTTTGTTCTAGGGCCTCTATATATTTACACGATGATCAAGAACTTTATAGAGAGAATTTAAAAGTGTCGTTACACTGCTTTTAAAATTTGTTTTACATTTCTAAGCATAGAATTAATAGAATCTTAAAGCACTTTGTGTGTGTGTGTGGAGTATAGGAAACGTAAGCGTTTAGGAAATTAAGGAAAGGATGGAGTTAAGAAAAAGGATGGAGGGGGCGCCTGGGTGGCTCAGTCGATTCAGTGTCTGCCTTCCATCGGTGCAGGTCGTGATCCCAGGGTCCTGGGATTGAGTCCTTGCTCAGCAGGGAGTCTGCTTCACCCCTGCCTGCCACTCCCCCTGCTTGTGCTTGCTCTCCCACTCTCTCTTAAAATCTTAAAAAAAAAAAAAAAAAAGAAGGATAAATAAAACTTCAGTTAAGCAGGGTGTGTGTATGTGGTGTTATAACCACAGTAGCTATGAACTGACATTTATCATACACTTAACATATGTTGTACATTGTTCTTTCCAACTTAGGCTTTACACATACTTACTCATTTAATACAAATCCTTTTTGCAAGAACAAGATCATACTGTCCCTACTGTCTCATAGCCTGTTTTACTGTCGTTTCACATATGGTAGACACCTTTACAGGCCAGTAATTACAGGTAGGAATACTTTTTAATCACTTATTGAACTATCATTATTCAGATATCATAATGACCTTATTGTTGGTCATTGAGATCGTTCCCAACTTTTACTTGTGTCACAGATGAATCCAATGAACATCCCTAAAATTACCCAATTTTCTAAAAAATTATGCCTCCAAAAAGAGGGAGTTACTTCATATTGAAGTCTTCACATAATTTCATATTATATAGAATTCTCTCAGCTCATTATGATCTACAAAGTGGGAAAAATGCATTAGCCTGAAAAGTCCTCAGTTTAATATCGGTTTTGAAGGTTTGTGAAGGATAGAGGTCACCCAGCAAAATGAGGGGAGAATTAGTGTGAAGAAGCAAAGGTTTTTAATCCAGACTTGATAATTATGCAAGGTGTGTGACTTCGTGGTTGCATATGCTGGCGTGTATCCCACCCAGGAGCATATTCCTAAAGGAGGAAAAAAAAAAAAAGCCACCTGTCCTAGTGTTACATTTATGGCTTGGAATGAAGTGTCCTGTGACCGAATCTCACACTTTTGTAAAGTGCTGTATCACAGCTGACTTGGAATTGAAGTGTCTTCTGGAATGCTGTTGGGTGATTCAGGCACTTCTTGGGAGGCACTGTAATTCCTACCAAATCGCATCACAAAGCCCATTATATCTGGTTGCCCCACTTAGAGTGATGCCAACATTAATCAGTGGGCTTGATGGTGGCAGGCCCGTCTCTCCTTTAGAAAGCTCCCAGCAACCACTCCCCCTGTGATTTCCGAAATCATCGATTATTATTCCCCAGATAAGTTATTTCCTTGGAGGTGGCCAAGTGATCATTTTCTAATTCTGTAATTTGTAATGTTCTTATAAGCTGAGTTCTTGTGTAAAGAACTTTCACTCCTATCTATTTGGTCACCTTGAAAAATCGTTCACCAAGGAAAGGCAGAATAAATGCCTATTCTTTCTCTTCATTAATTTTTAAAGTTGGTACCCTAGAAGTCTCCAGTGGTGGCCACTTAAAAAACATTGTTATGGACTCAAGGACTTTAAAAATATATTCGATTTGCCTTAGTCCTTGCAATCATTATTCACACTGATGCTCACATTGGTACATCATAAACCAGTGGGAATCTCTTCACATTGGCTCTTGTGGGGAGACTGGCTGGCTCAGTCGGTTAAGCATCTGCCTTCGGCTCAGGTCATGTTCCCAGGGTCCTGGGATTGAGCCCCGCATCAGGTTCCTAACTCAGTGGGAGCCTGCTTCTCCCTCTCCCTCTGCCTGCCACTGCCCCTGCTAGTGCTTTGTCTCTCTCACTATCTCTCTCTCTCTGTGTCAAATAAATAACATCTTTAAAAAAAAAAATGGGTTCTTGTATTCCTTCCATGTCAGTCCAGTAATCTTTGATCACTACTTTGCTGACTGGCACAAGATTTGCACATTTCCTGTTCCAGATCTAGAATCAGTCATTTCTGTGAGGAGCCCTGTTGTGTCTGGAGGCAAATAGTATTTAAGACCACAGTCTGGGTGCGTGAGATGCTCTTTGCTCTTATGGTGTCTTTGCTTCTTGGGTTTATTTCTCAGGGGGGAAAACTACAAGCTCATATTGTTATTCCCAAATCAAATGAAGATTTTAGGGCTTGGTTTTTAATAACATTAAAAGTTTTGGTTTTTAATAACATCCTATTAACATAATTCTTTTATTCTATAGTATGTCTGAAATAGTTTCAGAATAATAATACCATTATCACTACTAACTGTTAGGCTGCTGAAGGCTATTTAAATTTTCTTTCTCCTTTTTTTCCCCCTTAGAATATATCCTACTATGGATATATAGTCAAAATTCTGTGTTTGAAAGCCACTGGAAGAAATTCTTTATACTGTGTGACCATGCCGCCAAACTGATATGAAATTTGGTTTAATTGTTTCATTTCATATCCAGTTTTTAGGAATTTTTATCCTTTTTAGTTATGAAAAAATTTTCAAAATCAAAAACTTACATAAAATAAGATACACAGAAGTCTTACTTTTATTCCCATTCCCATCATTGTTTTCTCCCTTCCCCATGGGTAACCACCATTGGTTTTTTCTTTCTTTTTTAAAGATTTTATTTATTTGAGAGAGTGAGAGCGTGAGCCTGGGGTGGGGGGTGTGCGGCAGGAGGATAAGGAGAAGTAGACTCCCCGCTGAGCAGGGAGCCCTGATGCGGGGCTCCATCCCCGGACCCCGAGATCATGACCTGAGCCAAAGGCAGACGCTTAACTGACTGAGCCACCCAGGTGCCCCTAGTTTTTTATTTCTTTTTGTACTTCAAAAAAATTTAAGCAAAAATATATATAAAGTATTTCACATATAATATTCCAAGATACAATATTCATTTTCTGATAGCACATTTGCGTACTGTAAAAACAGTATTTTGCATCTTGGTTTTTAGCTTCCCTCTGTAAACTAGTGATCACTAGTGAGAGGTAAGAGTTGTTAAAGACCGGCTCTTGCCATGACAAAACACCTATGTCAGAGAAGCACATATGCTCCCTAAAAAACCTGTGCATGAGGGTTCATAGCAGCTTTATTCATGCTAGCCAAAATCTGGAAATAAGCCAGATGTTCTTCAGCAGGTGACACACTCTACCACGGAATACGGAATAATGAAAAGAAACAAACTATTGATGCACACCACATCTTGGATATTAGGGAGCTATGGGGACTTTAAAATCCAATTTTGAAAGGTTATGTACTGTTTGATTCCATTTATATGGCATTTTTGAAATGACAAAATTGTAAAAATGAGAACAGACTGTTGGTTACCAGATGCTGGAAGAGTGGAAGGGAGGATATGGCTATTGATCTAACGGGTAGCGGTAGCACAAGAATCCCCATGATGGAATTGTTCTCTCTCTCCCAAAAATTACATGGAACTACACACACACACACACACACACACACACACACACACACACACACCTGAATGCTGTAAGACTAGTGAAATTTAATAAGGTCAATGAATTATATGGTCAGTCAATTGTAGTGCAGTTATACTGGAGGATGTTAGATTGGAGGAAACTGGGTGAAAGGTACTTGGGATCTTTGTCTTATTTCTTAGAGCCACATAGGAATCTACCGTTTAAAAAAACACTTAAAAAAAACCTTAAGTTTTTTTTTAAAAGTGAAGTTGCTTCTATACAGAAATCTGTTGCATTTCTATACACTAATAACAAAGTAGCAGGAAAAGGAATTAAGAAAACAGTTGGTTTACAATTGCACCAAAAAAGAGTAAAATACCTAGGAATAAACTCTAACCAAGGAGATGAAAACCTGTACTCTGAAAACTGTAAGACAGTGATGAAAGAACCTAAAGATGACACAAACAAATGGAAAGATATTCCATGCTCATAAAGTGGAAGAATTAATATTGTTTAAAATGTCCATACAACCCAAAGCAACCTACAGATTCAGTGCAATCCCTATCAAATACCAGCAGCGTTTTTCTCGGAACTTGAACAAATAATACTAAAATTTGTATAGAACCACAAAAGACCCTGAGTAGCCGAAGCAGTCTTGAGAAAGAACAACAAAGCTGGGGGTAACACAATCCTGGATTTCAAGATATACTAGACTACAGAGCTGTAAGAATAAAAACAGTATGGGACTGGCACAAAAATAGACACACAGATGAATGGAACAGAATAGAGAGCCCAGAAATGAAAGTGAAGTTTGATGAGATGTGAGAGTGGAACAAAGCAGTTTTCCTAATTGAATGTAAAAATGTGAATTGGTAACCAAAATCAGTGTACTAAGTTTTAAATGGGCATTTGACTATTTCAACTACATCTCTATACATTTAAATAGTCCAAACTTGTTTTTGCAGTTACTTACTGGAAAAATTTGGAACTGCCTGATATTAGGGATCATCTTTCCTTTGGGCATAGACAGTGTTTAGGTTTGAGTGTGGGCACCTCTTCTCTCATAAAGGGAAGTTAGGTGTCCGTGTAGTTCTGCGCTTTGTCTAGTTTCCCTTCCAGCTTCCCTAAAACCCTGAAGGCATATAACATGTCTTTTCTGTTCACCGATATATTCTCTAGGGTTAGTATAGTGTCTGGAACACAATAGAAGCTCAATAAATATTCGGTGAGTCAGTATCCTGTCTTTCCAGATACTCCTGCTATTTCTTCATGGGTAGGAAGAAGAAAGCTTGTAGGATTTAAATACATGAAAAATCTAAATATCAAAATAAGTGAAAATTACTTAGCAGGTAACTAGAAGTGAGAACATGAATTTAAGAAAAGGAAAAAATTTTTTAGGATATTAAAATCACCTTGTGACTTGAAAATTTTATAAGAGGAGATTCTAGGAAGGAAGTCTTTGCATACACTTAATGATCCCTGATCTTTGTCAGCTCCCAATTGAATTGGTAAAGATTCCAAGCATAAATAACACATGATGTTGACCAAGCATATGGGATTAACTGGCACTCTGAATCACCAGTTTCTTAAGTAGTTTGAAGATATCATTTGTTTATTTATATTTTTTAAAAGATTTATTTTAGAGAGAGGGGGAGAGAGCAGGGGGATGGGCAGAAGAAGAGGGAGGGAGACTCTCAAGCAGACTCCCAGCTGAGCGCAGAGCCTGATGCAGGGCTCGATCTCATAATCCTGAGATTGTGACCTGAGCCGAAATTAAGAGTCAGACACTTAACCAGCTCAGCCACCTAGGTGCCCCTGAAGATATCTTTTAAAATTTCAAAAGTGAGGGCGCCTGGGTGGCTCAGTTGGTTAAGCGACTGCCTTCGGCTCAGGTCATGATCCTGGAGTCCCGGGATCGAGTCCCACATCGGGCTCCCTGCTCAGCAGGGTGTCTGCTTCTCCCTCTGACCCTCTTCCCTCTCGTGCTCTCTATCTCTCATTCTCTCTCTCTCAAATAAATAAATAAATCTTTACGAAAAAAAAATAAAATTTCAAAAGTGAGCTTTCAGGAATCTGTCCTACAGAAATGAAAAGCACTAATATGTAAATATAAGCATATTTCTTGCATCATTGTTTGTATTGACAAAAAATGAGAAACAAGCTGGATGTATGCCTACAATCGGGGAAGAGTTGAATGAATTGTTTTACATTGATACCATGGAATATTATACACCTATGAAATATTTATTAACCTGGAAAGATATTCATGGTGTATTAAGAGAAAAAAAGACTGTGATAAGAAGCTCCCTTATTTATAAAAATGTAAATGTGGATGGGAACCTTAAGTACATATGGGTCTTTTTGTGCTGATGGCCATATAGAAAGTGTGAAAGGGATGCACACCCAACTTTTAACGTTGGTTACCTCAACTGGCAGCCTGGAGGGCAGAGAAAGAAAGCTGTTGGCTTTTTGACTTAGTACATGTATTATGTAAAAATAAAAAAATGTTAAAGGCTTACAAAAATTCTTTTCCTTTGAAAAGTAAAAAGGATAGTGTGAAATCATGCTGGGCACTGATGAAAGTGCCAAAAGAGTATTCATGGAGTGGAACTGTGATTTCCCACAGTAAGGGAGTGGTTCAGGTGACTTGCTATGTGACTCTCCCATTTTATTTTCCTCATTTTCTCTTAATAAAATTTATTTTGGTATTTTCATCATTTTTGACCATTTTCTTGATTTGCATTATAAAAGTATGCTTGAGTTTTCTTGTAATAAAGAATGTCCTTTTATCTGAATCTTTCCATCTCTTTCTGATTTATTAATCTGATTGTTCAACTTTCTTTAGCTTGAAGATGATATTATTGTCAAACAGAATTACTTTAACACTATAAAAAATTTTGCACTTCAACTTTCTTCTGAGGAATGGATGATACTAGAGTTCTCCCAGCTGGGCTTCATTGGTAAGAAAAGTGTCAGATTTACCTACTTTTCAGAAATAACTGTGACTCTTGGAATCTTAAATTAATTTCTTTTACCTTAAAATTGCCTTTTTTTCCCTCTGGAAATGGATTGCTTTTGAGGAAATTTAATTTAGGTCAACTTCTACATATGAAATGATGAAAGTCACCCCAGAATAATATTTTGATACTTCTAGGATTCAGTATTTACTGTGGAGTACACGCACATAGCCAGCTATGGTCCTGAGCATATCTGATTTCTTTTCTGGCCCCTCCAGTTGCTCTTTTATGGCCCAGTGCTTTGGCAGGATCAGGATTCTTTTAAAAAGAGTGCCACAATAAATGTTTTCTAGGATGAGTTCTTGGTGTTTGGTGTAGTCCTTGAAGTTCCTGTTCAGTGATTAATTCATATTCATTTGTTGCTTTCATAGACTAGGCAAGGTGCTCATTTAAAATTTTTTTCCACTAAAATCCCTAAATTCTGCAGTTAAGGAGAACATGTTGAAAGGTGAAGAATTGCAGGAAGTTTACAGGTCTTAAAAAACACCCAGAGGATCACATTTAACTTCCTGTAGTACTTTAAAACCTTAAGTATTAGAGGCTGAGCCTTTGACCTTGTTGGTTATCTCAAAACTCAATTTAAGAGTCAAAAACCATCTTTACTTGTGAAGGTTTCATTGACAACAGCATTAGACCTTGTTTTTTGCATGTATTGATTTGGTTAAATTTTTTTTTTTTTTTACCTAAACCTAAAGGAACCTAAAGTTTTTTTTGTTTTGTTGTGTTTTAAATGGGAAGAATTTTAATAAGAAATGAAGGGAAAAAATCTCTGACTTGGTTCTTGAATCCTTTGAGCCATAGCTGTGTGATAGATTTTATAATGGAGAAAGTCAGGAGTTCAGTAGTTCTGTGTATACCCAGGTGACAACTCAGAATGTTTAGCTGAAGCAAGTTTGTTTGCTTTTGATAAGACAAGTGGGGAAGTTATTCCTAATGACTTTTATTTGAAAGCACAAGCTTTTATGTATGTGTTGTATAGATCTCATTTATTTAAGCCATTTTGTTGCTTGGTTTCTTTATAACAGCTATTGACTGAGAATGTTTTTTTCAGGTAAAATGTTTCAAGCGCCAGACCTCACTCTGATTGTGGAATTCATATTTATGTTCTATAAGGAGAAACCCATCGACTGGCTCTTGGACCATATACTCTGGGTAAAAGTCTGCAACCCTGAAAAAGATGCAGTAAGTTGATTTCTTGTGAGGGTGGATGTAGGAGTGCTGACACTCCTCTGGCCTGTCATTTTATTCATGTTCGCTCCATGACCTCTCTTGGGGCTACGTGCTCAGGGCTCATGATGATTAATATATATACGTTAGAAATGCCACCTTTGGCTGGGATGGAGAGGGCTTGTTTTGGTCTGCCCTGTATCTGTTAGAGAGAATACTCCTTCCCCTTCCTGACCCACAGGTGGTACAACGAGATCTAATTAAAGGTTAGCTGTCAGTTAGGTGCATGCAAACCCTTTGATCTCACTACAGGGCCCTTGCTCACTACAGTGTCCTCTTGCTCTGTAAAATCTGTGGACTAAGGTCCAGACCTTGCAGAGAATAACTGCATGTTGGATCATCATCCCACCCAATGCCACCCCTCCCCCAACACACACACACCCCCATCCCCCCACCCACCATCAGTTACCTTGAATAAACTCTGTGCTTTCTCAGTTTGAGGGATACTTTACTGTCCCTCCCCTACCTCTAACAGGGGAAGAGGCTTCTTTTCTGTATCTCATGAAAGTGACTTTCAGGGAGCCAGATTTTGTAAATGAGCAGTTAAATAGCTGAATGAAAAGTGTTTTCACTTAACATTTGAAGTGCCTGCCTCCTTTCTTGAACTTACAGAAAGTTCCTAAATTAGATGGACTTTTAAATAACAGTGGAGGGGTACGTGGGTGGCTCAGTCATTAAGTGTCTGCCTTCGGCTCAGGTCATGATCCCAGGGTCTTGGGATCGAGCCCCGCATCGGGCTCCCTGCTCAGCGGGAAGCCTGCTTCTCCCTCTCCCACTCCCCCTGCTTGTGTTCCCTCTCTCACTCTCTCTCTCTCTGTCAAATAAATAAGATCTTTAAAAAAAAATAACAGTGGAAAATCCTGTAAATCAGTGAAGTCCACCTTTCTTTAAATTGCTGATAAATGTTAGCAGTGTCTTTAGGCCCTGGCATTTCGTTACTGCGGGCTATCGGTGTTCTCCTCTCTGTCCGGGGGGGGGGGGGGGGGGGGGCGGTTATTTCAGCTTTCTTCATACTCTCTGTCATCTTTCTTTTTTCAAATCCTTTGGGGACACTATCAGGCCCCAAGATATCTGGAAATAAGGACTGAAATAGAAGTAATATTTTATACCAAAACAATGGCAAGTCAAAAAGTACTTTTTAGTATATTACTTGTAAGAAACCAGTGTTCATACTAATATGCTGACCTTTGGGGTGATGGTAGCAGGTAAGTAAGCAAACGATGATTTTTTTCTTATCATGTTATTTCCATAGAAATCTTGTTGTAAAAAGTAATTAGATATGTTTCTTGTCCAATTTGAATTGTGCTTCTGGAAAAAAATATTTATTTTGTGTAAGCATAAATGTGAATACACATTCTTAAAAATAAGTTATTTTCGACATGTGGTAACATGAACTCTTTATTATGGGAATGTGTCTTTATAGGGATGACCTAACATTGATTCTAACAAACAATTAATTTGACTTCATGACCTTATTATATTATCTAGAATAGTTTGATCATCCTACCTGCTAATTAGTTTTTAGGATACTGCCTTCTGATGTTTGGAAGCTATTGTTACATCCTTTTTTGTTTTTTTGTTTTTAAAACACTTTCTTAGAGCAAATCATGGAATATAGCCAAATAGCAAAGTAGCTACTTTCCAACAATAATTGAACATATAAATTGAGTTGAACAATTCATTTTTATGATGTAAGTCCTGGGCTGTATTTTCTTTGTGATTTATGGGAATTTTTATTGTAGGACATGGGAAAATTCATGTGATCTTTACACTCCTACAGTATACTTGCCTTCAATTGGTCCTGTGCAGTATTTTATCTCCTATAGGGTTAGGTTCTAAAATGAGTCTGGGAGGTGAGAATCTCCGATAGTAAAAATTAAAACCATTTAAATCATCTACAAATTTTAGCACACAGCTCTTTGGCCAGTTTGATTATCTATTCTGTCACTGCTCCTTAGGCCATGTTTTTCTGTGGCCCATAATTCTTCAGTTGCTTCCCCTAGGATGTCAGGGAAGCTGTCACCACATAACTTGCTGGCCCCCAGAAGAGTATCTCTTTGACAGTGGTCTGGAAAACCCCTCTGGGCATTCCCACATTCTTCCACGGGTTTCTCAGCCCACTTTGCCTCCTCAGACACCAGTGTGTGTATGGCTTATTGGGAGGGCTCACTCTCGGGCACCGTTCATTCTCTTCTTCCCCTCCCTCCCCCACCTTCCCTTCCCCGCCCCCTCCGCCCTTCCGTCACTCTGCTCCTTTACTCTCCCTTCCTTCCTTTCCCTTGCCTTCCACTTGAGGAGTTCGATTTGTGTAAATAGAATATGTTCTATGACCTCTACTCTACTGTGAGTAATAATAGTAATGAAGTAAAACCTCTTGAGAAAAATTAAGCATTTCAGTACCCAGAAAATTATTGGAGGCCTTTCCAAGTGGAAATGTCTTACAAATAAAAGATACACGAGTATGTCTTTTCAGTACGTTCTTGGCCTAGAACTTGTAAAAGTCATTGAAAATGAGAAGAGTTGGTAAACGCTTGACAGGATAGCTGGGGCTGTCTTGAAGTACCGAGTTCACACACAGGGAGAGCCCTGCTGGCATTATGGGTTCCCCGCACCAGGACCAAGCGTGAGGACAGGTTGTAATCTGAAGTCTAGGCCGGGAGGCACTTCATGTGGAAGTACGAGTCTCCCATATTCAACTGGAGCTGAATTGTGGAACTTGAGATACCATGTACTTGCTTATGGTCATGCTGTTGCCTTGCATTTTCAGATTACTTTGATGCAACAAAATGTGCCTTTTATTTTTGCAAATTCTTCATTATATTATCCGATTAAAGATATTCTGTATATTTGAACCAGACCTCTAGTCTGTAGTGTGTGCATTTTAAAAGTCGAATGTACGCTTAGTTGTGCTTATTTTAAATTTCCATATCTGTTTAGTAGGTAGCAAATCTCTTAAAGTCTTAAAGAAGACCCTAAAAATTATGACTTGGAATTATGAGATGAAGTTGGATTTTCTTTCCAATATTCTTTAAAAGGACTTCCGGAAGGGGCACCTGGGTGGCCCAGTCGGTCGAGCGTCTGACTCTTGGTTTCAGCTCAGGTCATGATCTCAGGGTTGTGGGATCGAACCCCACATCAGCTTGGTGCTGGGCGTGGAGCCTGCTTAAGATTCTCTCTCCCCCTCTCCCCCTCCCTACCGCCACTCTGTCTTTAAAAAGAAAGAAATTAATAAAAGACTTCTGGTTTTTCTGTTGAGGACAAGATTTCACTTTGACACTAATGTGATTTTTTTTTTTCAACATTTAGAAACATTGTGATAGACAGAAAGCAAATCTACGAATTCGCTTCAGACCTTCCCTTTTCCAACATGTTGGTCTGCATTCTTCTCTATCAGGAAAAATTCAGAAACTCACGGTTGGTGATTTAATTTTATTTTTCTCATGCACATACAGTTTGTTATTTACTGTATAGTCATTGCTCTTCTTCAGTATAAATAAGCTATATGGTGTTTAACAGCATACTTGTCTCTCCTCCTAGGATAAAGATTACATGAAACCATTACTTCTTAAAATCCATGTAAACCCACCTGCAGAGATATCTACTTCTTTGAAGGTCTACCAAGGACATACACTGGAGAAAACTTACATGGGGGAGGATTTCTTCTGGGCTATCACCCCAGCAGCCGGAGACTATATCTTGTTCAAATTTGATAAGCCAGTCAATGTAGAAAGGTTGGTGACTGTTGAAATCTATTTGGTCTTATGATTCTACATCTCTTATTCATACTGTGATTTATGATGGATTTTTTTGTGTGTATACAACAGACGTGAGGAGACAGTGGGTCCCAAATGTTAGGTTATAAAATACATTTTCTACAACTCGGTAGTAAAATGGGTATGTTGTTTTCAGATATGATATCAGCCCTTAGCATGTTTGATAAATTCTGCTGGTATTGTTGAACATATATTTAGTATAGTTTTTTTTAGTACTTTTAGGTAGAACTCTCCCTCAAAATATAAAATTAGTTTTCATGTCCTTATTCTAGAATATCCCTTGGGATTTGACTGAGAGCTAGTCAGTTACCTAGGAAATTGGCCGAAATGATAAATTTGACAGACTGTGACCGTCCCTAGTCAGTGATTTTACAAATGCTGGCTTGCTTTTAGGCCGCCGTGGAAGAATTTATGACCCTTTTTTGTTTTTTCGAATTGATGTTCATTGTACAGAATTTAGGACTCTTTTCTCCCTGTTCTTTAACAGTCATGATTCCTCCAACCTTTCCTCAGTTTTGGGGTGTCTTCCACAGACTACACCATCTGTGGTACACTTAAATGTAATCCCCGAATGGACTACTCTGTAGCCTGTGGCACATTGTGCTATGTGTTCTCATGTGAGGGCTATCCAGTTTTTAGAACCCACCAAAAATCATTTGGAATAATTCTCCTTAAGGTTTTCAGAAACAATGCATAGTTAACATGTTATTAATTTTATTTTATTCTCTAAGCTGATTCTAAAGAGGAATTTAAGTGTGTAAAAATGTTTTCGGCAATGGGAATATGACTGGAAAAACCTAAAAATACTTTTGTGTGATATTTTGCATTTATGAGCATATAATATTTTGTTATTTAATGTTCATTTTTATACCAGATAGTGTGATATTCAGCACTTTGAGGTAGTGTTTACCACACTTAAAGGAGTCATCACAGGGATGCCTAGGTGGCTCAGTCGGTTGAGTGTCTGACTCCTGATCTCGGCTCAGGTCTTGATCTCAGGGTCGTGGGTATGGGCCCCGTGTTGGGCTCCATGCTGGGTATGGAGCCTACATGAAAAGAAAAGACTCATCATAAATATCTGAAATGGGGTTAATATCCAAAATATAGAAAGAATTTACACAACTCAGCACCAAAAAAAGCAAATGATTTGATTAAAAAAATGGGGCAGAGGACCTAAATGGACATTTTTCCAAAGATGACATACAGATGCCCAAGAGATGAATGAAAAGATGGCTCAGCATCAGTAAGCATCAGGGAGACGCAAGTCAAAGCAATGAGATATCACCTTACACCAGTTAGAATGCCTAAAATCAGAAGGACAAGAAATAACAAGTGTTGGTGAGGATGTGGAGAAAGGGGACCCCTTGTGCACTGTTGGTGGGAATGTAAATTGGTGCAGCCACTGTGGAAAACAGTATGGAGGTTCCTCAAAAAATTAAAAATAGAACTACAATATGATCCAATTATTGCACTGCTGCGTATTTATCCAAAGCAAAGGAAAACACTAATTCAAAAAGATACTTGCAGCTCTATGTTTACTCCGCAGCATTATTTACAGTAGCCAAGATAGGGGGGCAACCCAAGTGTCCATCAGTAGACAAATGGGTAAGGAAAATGTGGTATACGTACCCACAAGGGAATATTACACAGCCAGATGAAGGATGAGATCCTGCTGTTTGTGACTACATGGATGGACCAAGAGGGCATTAAGCTAAGTGAAGTAAGTCAGCCTGAGAAAGTTACCATATAATTCCACTCAGGAATCTTAAAACAATCCACAAGTAAACAAAAAGCAGAATCAGACCTGTGAATACAGAAACTGGTGGCCAGAGGGGAGGGGAACGGGGGCGGGAGGCAAAATGGTGAAGGGGAGTGGGAGGCACAGGCTTCCAGTTAGGAAATGAGTGAGTTGCTGGAGTAATAGCCTCAGCACGGGGAATGTAGTCCGTGATAGTGTAATGGCACCGTATGGTGACAGATGGTAGCTGCGCTTGTGAGCACAGACCAACATAGATGGTGGGTCACTCTGTTGTACACCTGAAACCAGTGTAACCTTGTGTGTCAGCTGCACTCAAAGAATTTTATTTTATTTTTTAAAGATTTTATTTATTTTTTGACAAAGAGAGACACAGCGAGAGCGGGAACACGAGCAGGGGGAGTGGAGGAGGGAGAAGCAGGCTTCCCGCCGAGCAGGGAGCCCGATGCGGGGCTCGATCCCAGGACCCTCAGATCATGACCTGAGCCGAAGGCAGATGCTTAACGACTGAGCCACACAGGCACCCCTGCATTCAAAGAATTTTAAACAAAGAGTCATCATACAATTAGAAACAGTTTCACCTCCATAAATCAGAATAGTCTCAGACCATGTCTGTTGGTTTATTTTTTGCAAGTTAAAATTGTGCCAGCAGAGAATCTGCTAGAGAACTCCTATATTGGAGATCAGATTTCTTAACAAATATATTTACAATAAACTTCTGTAGAGTAATATTTACATGACCCTACTGAGGACCCATTTCTAGTAAAACACAATTCTTTTAAAAACATAAGACCTCTGAATTTTCTTAGAGTTCACGGAGAGACCCACCCTGCCTAGAATACAGAAAAGAGATCACTTTTGACTTGCACAATAACTTACTTGCTGAGAGGGGAAAAAGCAGAAGTTGTATTTATCAATACAGAAATTGAATGTTAGGGAAAATATTTTCTGACTATATAACATGATATGATTTGATTACACAAAAATTTTAAAATATGAAAAATGAGGAAAAAAAATCACAACCCCGGCGACACCGTTGTGACCATATTGGCACTTTTTTTTTTTTTTTTGTGATTCTGTGCACTTTCTACTTTGAAAGCCATTATGGTCTGTATGTAATTTTATGTCCTATTTTCCATCATAATTTGTCATAAGTGATTCATAAACATTTTAGTAGTTGCACAGTATCCCCATTTCCTGGCTGTACCATGATTTACTTCTTCTTATATTAAACTTTGTAGATCGTATTGAGTTTTCCACTATAATCACATAGGAAACACCTCTGAATCAGTCTGTCTAAACGCCAAATTCTGTCCATTATTCTTTTCTTAAAAGTGGCTTCCCCTGTCTTGTGTTGTTGCATCTATAGCTGAGGTCCTGAGTGGCCCAGGGTTATAGGAAAGCAGCATTCCAAGTCAGGGATGTCTTTTGAAAAAAGGTGTCTCTCATCTGAAAATGTTGGAATTAATTTTGGATGTAGCTTAGAGGGAGCTAAACTTAGAGGGTGCCCTTCCCTGTGGAAGATTTGAAAATCAGGTCTTCATCACAGGTGATTTTTGCCCACTAATACCGTACTGTATCATAAGCATACTCTAACTGCTCCTTGCTGAGTACTTCTAATACTCAGGCTACTGTCAGTTCTCATAAACCCCTTGCTACAGTCATGTGAGGTAGGTGGGAATCTCCATACTGTCTAGAGGAAACTCAGGCTCAGGAAGCTAAGGTAACTTGCTAAAGGTGAGAATTCTATTAAATGAGAGACCCAGGATTTGGATCCAGGTCTTTCTGAGTCGAAACTTTGAACCATTTAACTTAGCTGAAACTCAAGTTTTCAGTTTATATTTAGATATGCTTTGCATGCCCTGTCTGGTTTTTACACCTCCCCTCCCCTCACGTGCCCCCCCCACCACATACACTTACACACCCACACTAGTTTTCAGGGTATCAGAACCTGAGGACATTATCCTCATACCCAGAGAGTATTTTAGATTGATCATAGTTGTTTTTCAAATGTTTGTTCATAGTGATAAGTGGAATGATTCAGATATTTGGAATTGGTTAATTTAGTCTCAGGCTATGAATACGAAAATTATTTGTATTGGATAAAACTAGTCTTTGAGCTTGCCATGGCTCATTGCTATCCTGGTGAAAATTTTCTCTGATACAAGATAAAGTAGTAATATATAGGTGCTGCAGCTTTGATTATTCTTCTTGAGAGGTGTATATATTTAAAACAGTGTAAACCACAGCCTAAAACTGTCCTTTTTAAAAAATCTGTTAAATACATTATTACATTAAGCAACAAACATGCCCCTTCTGATGGAAGGAATTAACACATCACCTAAGGGTTGCATCCTTAAGTTTTCAAGTTTCCTGCAACTATTCAGAATACATAATATGCCCTTGCTACGAGCTCCGGTGCTGTCTGCCCTGCAGTCAGAGTCTCGTTTAGAACGCTCACTCTGAGGTACGGCCATTTTCCTGAATCTCTGCGAAGTCTAATCTGACTCATACTTTTATTTTTATGTTTGTCTTTTCAGTTATTTGTTCCACAGCGGCAACCAAGAACATCCAGGAGATATTCTGCTAAACACAACTGTGGAAGTTTTGCCTTTTAAGGTATGCCTATTTTTTTCCCCTAATTTTTCTTTTTTTTTTTTTTAAGATTTTATTTATTTGCGAGAGAGAGAATGAGAGATAGAGAGCACGAGAGGGAGGAGGGTCAGAGGGAGAAGCGGACTCCCTGCTGAGCAGGGAGCCCGATGCGGGACTTGATCCCGGGATTCCAGGATCATGACCTGAGCCGAAGGCAGTTGCTTAACCAACTGAGCCATCACCCAAGCGCCCTCCCCTAATTTTTCTTAAGAACGAAGACCAGGGGACTTGGTTTGAGGTTATTCTTGTTTATGAGGTGAAAGAAAATTCTCATGATCGCAGGACCTTAGTGGCAAGGTTAAATTTTTTTTTTTTTTTTTAATGGGGAACACTTAGTGTATTGTCCCATCTGTCTTATTCATAGAAAGAGCCTCCATTTTGTTTCCTGGTGGAAAATATCTTGGAAGTTCATACTAGGAAAATAAATGAATCATCATTTTACTTTAATGCTTAACTGCTGTTTACATTTTGAGTCCCGAAATCCCATGTGGCTTTAATGCCTGTTGTTTAATACACAAAATTAATTTACTGGTCTTTAAGGAGTGCTTAGATTTCTTTCAAGTTAACACAGTTTTTTATTTTTAATAAAAATAGTACCCTATTAAAATTAATTAAAATTTAAATTTTCTAACCACAAATATAGATAGATTGATTCAGATAGTTAAAAAAAGAATATTTGTATTGATAAACTCTTTAAGGTTCAAGACTGAGATGACATTTTCTCTTTTTTAGAGATAGTTGTGCCACAAACACCACTTTTATGTTTATTAAGATATATTAGATCTGTTTTAAATAGAAGTAATGATTTGTATAAAGTTGATGTTTTTGTTCTATTTTAGAGTGAAGGTTTGGAAATAAGCAAAGAAACCAAAGACAAACGATTAGAAGATGGTTATTTCAGAATAGGTAATACCTCCTACTAGTAAAATGTCCTTGACTTTTCTGGACTTACTCCTAAAGTAATTTTAAATTCTTGTAGGATGTTAAGCACTTTAGGGTTACAACTACCAATGTCCTCCCAAGTTGTGTGTGTTCTCGTGTTTCAGGACATACTTTTACTATCTTGACCTAACCAGGATTTCAGATCAAAGGTTCATTTGTTGATTCCTCTTTCTCTCCTCACCTGCTGTTTCATTGTTGATAGTCACTGAGAGATCATCTGCCTTCAGCTGCCTTCTGCACTCCTACCAGGTGACCTTAGCTACTTGCAAGGTCCCAGCAACATCCATGTGCTAGAATCTCTGTGCCCTTAGCCTCTGCCTCCGTACTGAGCTTCGGGTCTGTGTGGAGATGCTTTCTCTCTTTTTTTTCTTTTAAGGTTTTATTTATTTATTTGAGAGAGAGAGAGAGAGAGAAAGAGAGAGTGCGTACAAGCAAGAGGAGGGGAAAGAGGGAGAAGCGACCCCCCGCTGAGCAGGGAGCCCGATGCGGGGCTCCATCCCAGGACCCTGAGATCATGACCTGAGCCGAAGGCAGACACCCAGGTGCCCCTTGAGATGCTTTCTGACATGGCCACACAACCATCTGCTCTGAGTATCTGTACCAGGGTCATATCTTCTGGTCACCGTGGTTTTGTTCACCTGGTTGCCCAAGCCCAACCTTGGGAGACACCCTGAACACCCACCCCACTTTTTGCCATCCATTAACATAAACTGCGTCTGTCTGGGGATATGTACTCCCCTGGCCTGGGACGCTGCTGGAGTCCGCTGCCTCCGTGCCTGAGCCAGAGAAGGTCTGCCTCTCCCTGCGTCCTTTCGTTGGCTTTGCCCAGAGCCCCTGCTGTTAGCTTTCACAAAGTCCATATTACCATGATGTTAGCCTGGGGAGAGACCTTAACACCTTGCCATGATCACATTCCTTAGCTTCCATCCACTTTCACGTCTTGTTTCCTTTGATTCTCAATTTGCGTCGTCCTGAGACTCTCGTTCCTCTAATGCTTCTTGCTTTCACGGGCAGCCGTGTCCCTGGCCATTTTCTCCGCCTGATATTCCTCCTAATGAATGCTTTCTGGTTTTCTCTTCAACACTGCAACTGGCCCTCTTGTCTGCTCTTCCTGCCACACTGCGTGTGCTTTACTGCGTAGCCTTGCCGTGTCACAGCGTGGTCCTGCGCATCGGGGGGCGGGGTGGGGAAGGCAGGGGGTGATGGCCCTCGGCCATGTCCTGCAGGCAGTGTACGGCCTGTTGCTGGATAGGTGTCGACTCAGTGAATGATGATATATTTTCTTTTTCTTAAAACAAATTGATGCTCTTCGTAGTAGTAGGAAGAAGAGAATATTGGTAAGTTTACGCTGTAGGTACACAGGATGGATACAATCTGAAAACTGTCTCTGGAGCAGTTTTCACATTTGGTGTCATTGTTTCTGCTACAAGGCTTGTGTGATAACCCTCATTTTTGCATAGTTTTGGTGGATAGATGAGTTTCATTATTTTCATATTTGGGTTATATATATATAACTTAGCTCACTTCTAGAAATGTACAAAAAATTGGCTGCCTATCCAAGACATTTATTAACCCTTTTACTTGTCCATTATTTAGTTTCTGAGACTGTTGTGTTCTAGATTAGGAAAGCATAGGAAATTGCCCATCTGCAGTAATTTGAAGATAATGACCATCTAAGACATCAACTCATACATGTTTAGAATGGAAGAGGACTTGGGGATCAGCCACCCTAGGACCTTGTAAAATGAAAAGGTGCATCAGAAACAAAGAGCAAATGATCTTTCTCAATTGACTATAAAAAATTCCGCTCCCTTAAGTATGCATTAGTGGAATAGCTTCGCAGACCTTCCTCATGGTGAAACAGCCATAACTGGTGAAAATTATTGTCAAAAAAAAAAAATAGAGCAAACGGAGAGACATTACTCATGAACATCTGAATCTGAGTAATAACATTGAGTCTGTGGTCTTTGAGTCCTGACCCACTGCATTTCCCATACTGCCGAGCTCAGTGAGATGGAAGCTCTGTCCTCGGCACTTAGTAGTTCCCGTTGTGAGGCGAACAGCCTGGTCCCAGAAACACTGGAAGGACGGGATGGATGGCGTGTGGTCAGGGTGTGGCAGGAGGGGGTGCTGCATGGGGCGTGACCTTGGAAGTCTAGGCCCATGCCAGGATTTGGGAATTCTAGTCACTCTTCAGTAATTTCTTCCTTCCATTCCCCCTTCTTTCCCGTCTTTCAATGCTGACCTACCAGGCCATTGGGTCAAGGACAAAAATTAAATTTCTTGTTTGGAAAGCTGGGTACAGGCCCATGGTACCAGATGCAAATTTGAGAACATAAACTTAAGTCTCCTTCGCTCTTCTTTTCCCCCCTACCCAGTGCTTCTTGGCGGCAATTCCTTTAAGGATTTGTGTCCTGCCCCGACGTATTCTGTTCAGAAATAAAAAGATGAGTATATTCTTTAAAAACCCACAGTCATACACAAGTGATAATATGTGGGACAGCCTTTGTTCTGCTTCTGTTCACTGACCACAGGACGTATGCATTACACATGGAAGGTGAACATCCCAAAGGCCGTAACATTTCAGATACAAATAATAATGTAATGAGTATCTGTGTGTTTGGCTTAAGGTTTGCCATTTCCGTTGTTCTTCCCTAATATCTTCTGTCCTAAGGTCTGTGGTTACCATTTGCATGTATACTTCTACTACATGTGTATGATGTATTCCTGAATAATGCACACTGTTACTTTGCTTGTTAAATTTGAGAGAAATGACGTCCTTCTGTAGTCTACAATTTGCTTTCCCTCCGCATCATGAGGTTTCATCCACTGAGATGCATGTATCTGTGGCTCATTCATTTTCACTACTGTATAAATTTCCATGGGGGAATATATCACTGTCTGTTCTCCTGTTTGGTTATAAAGTTTGTTTTCATTTTTTCTGTTGCAAACAATGCTCCTCTGAATAATTCTGCACATGTACGAGAGTTTCTCTGCATTGGAAATGCAAATAGGTCTTTAGCTGCATTATCTTCTGTTTGCCTTTATTCTTTGTATTCTTTCTTCATTCTTTTAATTGGCTGCCTAGTTCCCATGTATTATTAATAACATATCAAAATTTATATAGCCAGTCACCTAGTGATGGATGGTTGTTGGCAGTTTTTGCTGCAATATATACTCTTTTTGGACATGTGAGAGTATTTCTGTAGGATAAAATCCTGGGTGAAAGTGTTTTTTTGTTTTTTTTTTTTAAGATTTATTTATTTATTTTAGAGAGCGAGTGGGTGAATGCAGGGGGAAGGAGCAGGGGGAGAGAAAGAATCTTAAGCAGATTCCCCACAGAGCCCAGAGCCCAATACAGGGCTTGATCTCACAACCCTGAGATCACAACCTGAGCCAAAACCAAGAGTTGGTCACTTAACTGACTGTACCAGGTAATTATCTTTCTAATTAAATGAGTTCATCAGATGATAGTATGATACCTCACTAAAGTGTTGTAAGTTTCACGGTATTTTTCAGCCCTAAATCCCCTACCTAACTCAGTAATTCGGTAATACTTTTTTGTAGCATATACTTCCTACCCCAGTCTAGCCCCAACATGGACATACTTTTATGAAATAAAATTATTAATAACTTTTGAATAAAAACATTACTTTGGAAGTTGATACGTTTAATACTACAAGTCTTCTTGGGGCACCTGGGTGGCTCAGTCAGTTAAAGATAGGTCATGATCTCAGGGTTGTGAATTGAGCCTGACATGGGGTTCTGCACTCAGCATGGAGTTTGCTTGTCCCTCTTTCTCTGCCCCTGCCCCTGCTTGCATGCGTGCATCCTCTCTCTAAAATAAATAAATCTTTAAAAAAAATATTACAAGTTTTCTCTGGTATGATTTTCAAGTTGAACATACCTTACTAAAAGCCTAATCATTGTTTTGTAAAACTCTAGAATAGACTGCATAATCTGCACATGATAGCCCATGGTCCAGATCTGGCCCACTTCCTGTTGGTTTTTTCCTCCTGCTTCCTGTTTTTGCTTAGAATGTTTAATTTTTTTTCATATTTATTTTTAAATGGTTTGCAAAAAAAGAATTATATATTGTGACATGTAAAAATTATAAAAAATTTAAATTTCAGTGTCCCTAAATAAAGCTTTACTGGCACACAGCCATGCTCACTGTAGTTCTGTACCGTCCGTGCGCTTTGATGCTACAAGAGCAGAGGTGTTCATGGAGTTGCAGTAGAGATTGAGGTGGTGCTCTGATTGCTTTGGGCACTCGATGGGCTATAAATAGCAGCAACGTGTTTATAATTTGACCGTGTTTCAAGTGCCACACATACCCGCACATCACCATCCTGTGACATTTTTTTAAAAAAATGACCAGTGCCTATACAAGTGGACTTTGAATGTCAATGCTTTTTAACACTATGAAAACGTGGAATATTTTACAAAGTCAGATGGCAGATCGTCCTGGTTATTATGCCGCCATGCAACAGCTGTGCATCATAATGCGAATGCATTACCATCCTGAGCGCTCACAGGATTCCCAGCTCACAAGAAAGCAGAGGTCAGGAAATTAGAATATTTAACATAGAGTATTTCGTGACAGCAGAATTTCTTCACAGAAATAAAATTCAAGTGAGGCTGTAACCAAAGTGTGTGTCAGAGTGACTCCAGTGTTAGCCAAGTAAATAAAACCAATTACCGATAGTGAGTTAAATCGTATTTAATTGGAACATCCAAAGATACGTGTGCAGATAAAATAAACTTATTTAAGATCATCAGGCTTTCAGCAACAACCAACAGCTTGAAGAACTGAGGACATTGGGAACCATATCAGTCAAAAAACAAAGTAAAGACTATTGACTGTTAATATGATATGGTATTTATAGCATATTTTAGTTATGTAAACTACATGAAAACAAGAGAACACAAGGCAGAAAGGTGATAACTAAATGTATATCACT